TGTATACAATGTGCCTTTTTTCCCCCTCCTCCTGTTAAGATGTCTCTTCATCAGTGGTTTCTAGCACTTCCACTATGAAGTGTGTCGGTGTTGCTTCCATGTTCAAGAGCTCTAGCTCTGGTGAACTTCTTGGATATGTTTGTTTATGGGTCTCACCAACTTTGGAAAATTATTGGCTACTATTTCCTCAAATATTTCCTCTGTTTACTACTCCTTCCTTATCTTGTCACTCTCAGGGACCCAAATTACACACTATTTAGGCTGTGTGGAATTGTCCTACTATCACTGAGGCTTATCCATTTTTTCAGTCTCTTTTTTTCTGTGTTTTATTATGCATAGTTTCGATGATCCNCTTGTCACTCTCAGGGACCCAAATTACACACTATTTAGGCTGTGTGGAATGGTCCTACTATCACTGAGGCTTATCCATTTTTTCAGTCTTTTTTTCTGTGTTTTATTATGCATAGTTTCGATGATCCTGTCATCAAGTTCACTAATCTCTTCTTTTGTAGCATCTAATATGATGCCAAACTCTTCCAGTGGCTTTTCAAAAAAAAATCTCAAACCATGTATTTCATCTTCATAAGTCTGATTTGTTACTTTTTATTTTANTGTAGCATCTAATATGATGCCAAACTCTTCCAGTGGCTTTTCAAAAAAAATCTCAGACCATGTATTTCATCTTCATAAGTCTGATTTGTTACTTTTTATTTTTATTTTATTTTTAAATGTATCTTTATTGATTTCAAAGAGAGGAAAAGAGAGGGAGAGAGAGATAGAAACATCAGTGATGAGAGAGTCATTGATCAACTGCCTCCGGCATNAGAGAGAGATAGAAACATCAATGATGAGAGAGTCATTGATCAACTGCCTCCGGCATGCCCCTGACTGGGGATGGAGTCCGCAACCTGGGCATGTGCCCTGACCGGGAATTGAACCCCGATTGCCTGGATCCTAGGTCAAAGCTCAGCCACTGAGCCACACCCAGCCAGGCTGATTTATTACTGTTTAGAAAGTATTCCATAGCTGTTCCCAACATGCCAATCTTTCCTATAACCACAGTCAAAAATAAAATATAGTTATAATAATTGTTCATGTATCCTCTGTTGGCACAGCCTCTGCAAAGCTGCCATTAAGGCTGAGAAAAGGAGGAAGCCGGGGATCTCAGATCTGGGGACCTGGTGCAGACCTGCTCGTGACTTTGTCTACAGTCCTCCTGGGAACGTGTGTGACACAGATGGAGAAGGAGGTTTGTGTCTCACTTCCCCATCTGCCTGTGTCACTGTGAGCTTTATCATTATTGTCCCATAGTCCACAGTAATAGTCAGCCTCATCTTCAGCCTGGGCTCCACTGATGGTCAGGGTGTTTGTGTCCTCTGAGTCAGAAGTAGAAAATCGGTCAGGGATCCCTGAGGGCCGGTTGTTGTTACCGTACATGACCAGCACGGGGGCCTGGCCTGGCTTCTGCTGGAACCAGCCAGGATAATAATTTTTTACGATCTCTCCCTGGCAGGTGATCCTGGCCGTCTGTCCCAAGGACACAGACACTGCTGGTGGCTGAGTCATTTCAGAAGAGGCCACAGAACCTGAAAGACAGGAGAGGAGAGGTTACTGTGACGGTGAGGGTCTCTTTCCCAGAGGATATATACCCTGCAGCATCCCCTGTATTGAGCTAAAGTTCAGGGCCAGGCTGCTCTCTGGTTTCTTTGGGGCCTGAGCCCTCAGGAGAAGCACCTGTGCAGAGTGCGAGGAGGGGGAGGAGAAGGGTCCAGGCCATGGTGAAGATGCCCCAGGCTCTGCCTCTGAGGCCTCAGCTGGGGATGTGGTCTACAGGGCTTTATTAATTTCTCTATGGGTGGGTCCATACGCAAATCTACTTCCTCCTTGTGGCCTCCTTGGGTGTCTCCTTGCTGAGCATAAAAGGGCTCAGTATATAGGATGCTGTGAAATGGGCTTCATTCTCAAGGCCTGTACCAGGCTCCCCAGCGCTCTCTATGATGTTCAGTTAGAAAGTTCTGACGCCTGATCCAGCAGCTGCACACACACCTCAGGCTGAGCCCTGGACCTCTCTGGGCTCCCGGAGAACCGTCAGCCCTGCTCTCTGGTGATGAGATCATCCACGGGGGGGCAGGGGGGGGAGTGCTTGAATCAGGAGCTTGTGGGGACAGTGGTCATGACGGTGTATGAGAGGCCAGAGTTCCATGATCAGATACAGAGAAATTGTTCATGTACCTTTCAGGCAATCTTCTTATTGATTGTTTTAGGGGGGGCGTGGAAATAAGACAAATCTTTGAGATCTAAGGCTAGGCAAGTATTCTTTGATGACATCAGAAGCATGAGTCATCAAAAGAACAATTCATAAATTGAAACTTATCAAAGATGACATCCTTTCCTTTGCAAGCTTTCTAAAGAGGAAAAAGAAACAGGTAACAGGTGGAGGGAAAATATTTGTAAACAACATATCCAGTGAATGTCTAGTGTATGGAGTATATAAAGGGTCATCAAACGTAACAAAAAAGTTACAGGCCATTCAGAAAATGGGCAAATAACAAGAGCAGACATGTCAGGAAAGAGCATGTACTGATGAAGATAAGCACATGGAAGGACACTTGTCATTAGCTATTAGGGAAACGCAGAAGAAAGCGACGTGAGCTATCCCCGCACAGCCTCAGAATGGCTAAGGCACGTAGGGACAGCCCCAGCGCCGGCAAGAGTGGGAGGGGTGGGATCGCCCGTGCCGGGGGCATGGGACTGTGAAATGGTCCCGTAACTCCGGGAAAGCGTTTCCAACTTCTCGGGCAATCAGACTTGCACTTACCTTACAACCCACAATTGTGCTCTTGGGCATTTGTTTCAGAGGAGTGCTAACTTAGCTTCACAGAGAAACTATACACAAATGTTCACGGCACCCGTGTGCACAAGGTCTCATGTGAGAAAGTCCAGGTGCCCTTCCCTAGGTGGGTGGTTAAACAGGCACCAGTCCACCCAGACCAGGGGATATTACTCAGCCATGGGAAGGAGGAGACTTCGTGCAACAACAATTTTGAGGAATCTACGGGGGTTAGGTAAAGGGAAATAATGCCAGTCCCAGGGGTAACATACTATACGGTTCCATTTTTTTATTTCAGTAGATCATTTCAACAAAGACAAACTTTTAAAAATGGAAAATTAATCAGTGGTGCCAGGGGTTAGAGGCAGGGAAGGGCAGCTCAGAGGGAGGAGGTGGGTGTTGTTAGAAATATAACAGGACAACCTGAGGGACCTTTGTGGCGATGGATGTGTTTTGTATCTGAACCTACACATGGGATATAATCACGCTGAACTAAACCACACACACTATGTGAAAAAGGGAAAAAAAAAATTAAAGGAAGTGTTAATGAAAAGGAAAAAAAGAGTATACAATAGAGATAGGCTGAAGAATTAGATGGAACGGCCACATCAGAAAAATCCAGAGAGAGAGAAAGACGGAGCCATGCAGAGGGAGCCTGAGGGCGCAGGTGGCTCTGGCCCTGCCTCCCTGTCCCTCTCAAAGGCGCATTAGCTTCATCTCGCCTGGTGGGTAGGTCCTGTGACCTGTTAAAGCTGCTCATTCTGGGGGCTCTGCCAAAGTCACAGGCAAAAAAAAGCAATTTTTCTTTATATTTTAACAACTATAGTGAATATAAAGGTCACAGGCAAAAAAAAAAAGCAATTTTTCTTTATATTTTAACAACTATAGTGAATATAAATATCACACAAGTATGTTTGATGTACAGTTTTACTTTCTGGTCTCAGAATCAATTGCTATCTGTGAAGCCAAAGACACAGGCATGGAATAAAAAATGAAAGGGACACTGCCTCAAAGTGTTCATTAGTCACTGTCACATGATAGAGGTGACAGTGGTCCCTTCCTGAGACCCTGGCCCTGTCATAACCCTGACCTCAAGAAATGGTTCATCATTGTCCCTTGGTCCCTTGGTCCCTCTGCGCCCTGGGATGTGTGGTGGCAGTGCCCTCACGGGCTGGTCAGCATCTAAGCACAGCAGGGATGACCTGCATCTGCTCCCTTCCACTCAGTGTCCTCACTGATACACGTGGTCCCTCTGTCTGTCCATCTGAGGCCACTGCTGACTTTCTTCCACGTTACTGGCACCACAGGCCCCGGGTGACATGGGGAAGGCGTGGTCCTCACTGGGGTTGGATCTAATTCCCTACAGTCCTCCCGACTCCCTTTCCTGCAGTGTAAGTGGTGGAGGAAACTCCCACTAGACGGGCCCCCGGAGCCGTGTTTGGGACGAAGTCTCTGCAGCCCCTGTAGAGAACACCCCTTCACTGGAGTGGGCAGGGCGGCGATGGCCCTGTGACCCTGTGACTTCAGCTGCCTTGGCTGACAGAGGTCACTGCAGGTCCGAGCCCTGAGTCAGTCTCTCTCCCTGTCCCTTCATCCCTAGACACCAGTGTCTTCCTTCTTTCCTGTCTCCTTGGGAATCACACAGGTCACAGTCAGCTCCAGGACTTTCATCTCAGAATCAGTTACCGGGGACCAGCCCTGAGGTCCTTCCCACCCTGGTCATGCCAGTGCCCAGGCGTCCGGGTTCGTTGGTGAATACAGCTGCTCCATGTTGACTCAGTGGTATGGGCATGTGTGAAAGCTGCTGGTATTTCAGATTCCAGAATAGCTTGGCAGAAAATCAACCTGTGCACTAATCTGTTTTCCCCTTAAAATGTATTTGAGACACCAGTGGAAAGGAGTCCACATGTTTTCCACGTGAGTCTCCACTGTCCCCCATGCCTTGCTGCTGTCCCAGTGGACATGGTCCTGGTCTGTCCCTAGAAAAGTTCTGTGCGCAGATGTAGAGCTTTTCTTGGCACCACAAGCTGAGAATCTACCTCAGGCTGTGCTCCATGTTGATCCTGCACAGACCTCCTAACATGCACCCACCTCCCTACTGGATCCAGCTCTGCACCCATTTCAAACTCTGTCCTGCCTTCCCTGAGAGCCAACTGTTTCCTGCTGAACCTCAGTCCTGACAGGACCCGTCATAGACTGTGCTGCACCCAGAGTGAAGACGTTCACTGCTATGTCTTCCATAGTCACCATTGGAACCCCAAGATCTAGGTTTCTTCCCTGACAAGAGCCCCAAATTGGATCACAGGCCTGATGGCGCTTGGGGACACAGTCATTTCAGCCCAGCCACTCTCTCAGGATGTTTTCCCTTCTTGGTTAGGTGTGTCTTTCCCAACTTTGTTCCCACAGGCCTATGATTGAAGAAACAGAATGTTGTCTTACCAAAATGACCTAAATTATGACCTGCATCTGTCTCTTTTTAGTTGTATCACCAGGAGGAGGTGTGTGATGATGGGATTTGCAAGGAAAAGAGTCATGATCTTAGGGTTCTGGGGACGGGCAGGGAGCACGTCATTCAGACCTGTGGGGAGTTGGGGACAGGGGAAGGGAGGTTTCAGTCTCAATTCCCCTTTGTCTGTGTCACTGTGGCTTACCGACCTGCCCATCAATTGTATGTGTCTCACCACAGATATACTCCGCCTCGTCCTCAGGCTGGAGGTTCGAGATGGTTAAGTAGCGGTCAGCCCCAGAGCTGGAGCCCGAGAAGCCGAGAAGCGATCGGGGATCCCGGCCCCCTTGCCGTGGCTTCCATCACTGTTAACNCGGTCAGCCCCAGAGCTGGAGCCCGAGAAGCGATCGGGGATCCCGTCCCCATTGGTGTGGCTTCCATCACTCTTAACGTACGTCAAATACCGAGGGGCCTTCCCGGGCTGTTGCTGATGCCATGCAATGGTGTAGGTGCTGTGCTCACTGCTCAGGGTGCAGGTGAGCTTGGCCGAGGCTCCCAGGGAGGCAGAAGCAGATGGGGGCTGGGTCAGCACAGGCAGAGCACAGAGCCCTGCAAACAGAAAACAGGATGACCTGAGTGCACGCAGCCTGGACTGTGCCTGGAGGGAAATATCAGGGGCAGGCCCCCTGAGTGCCCAGGGACAAACTGACCTGTGGAGAAAACCAGGGGCAGGAGGTAGAAGGGAAGCCTGTCCATGGTGGGAGGCGCTCTGGGAGCTGTGTCCTGAGGCTGCCCAGCTGGCACTGGCCTGTCCCAGCTCCTGTCTTATTGTCCCTCTTGCAGCTCCAGGGGAGGAGCTTGAATGCAAATCTGGTCTCTGTTCCCCACTTGTCTGTCTCAGCTCCTATCTCAACTTTGAGCCTAAGGGCCTCCTGATGGTAATCTCCTGAGATCAGAAGAGGGTCCAGGTGTTGGTTTCAGAGTGGAGGGTTAATTTTACCAAAAAGAACACCCTTTGCACTGAGCACAGCCCAGGGGAATTAGACCTATCAGAGTTCCGGAGGCAAGATCCACAGGGCCCTCTGGTGCCCAAAGGGTGAATGTCATCCTCCGTGTGGAGCTAATTCAACCTAGCGACCATTTTTGAGCCCTTAGTAGATACCAGACCCTCGGGGAGTGTTTTGCATGCACACCCTCACCGGACATCACAGTAATCCAACATGATCCCTGTGCTAAAGGCACCGTCTAATGAGGAAGGAGCCATCATTGCTAGGTTAATAATTTTTCCAAAGTCCCCAAGACAGTGATGTTGTATCAAGACTCCAGTCCAGGAGACTGATCTCAGAGCCTGACCTTTCAGTCCCCGCCCTGCCCTCACCTCTCCATGCCCCATGCCCTCCTTCCTCCCCCATCCCAGGCCTCCTGAGTCCCTGAGTCCCCACCCTATCTTCTGTTCCCAGGTGTTCTGTCCTCACTGTGTCCCTTCTTCACAGTGTTGGAATCTGCATTTTCCAGTGATACATGGTCTCTCTGTGCACAGAACTTGGTGGGACTTTTTGGCTACTAATTTAACCCTTTTACTTGTTATAGGTTTAATCAGGTTTTCTATTTGTTCTTGAGTGAGTAGTTTGTACCATCTAATCTATTTTTTTTCTTATTTTGGAATGCACTTGTTCACAGTATTTCCTTTTAGTACTTTTTGTTTAATGTTAGTGGTAATGGCCCCTTGTTAATTCTTGATTTAATAAGTTATTTTGGTCAATCTAACTAAAACTTTGTTAATTTTGCTGATGATTTAAAAGAAGCACATTTTGTCCCACCAGCATGGTCAGCGGTTGACCATTGACCTAGGATCCAGGCGATCACTGTTCAGTTCTCGGTCAGGGCACAGGCCCGGGTAGCGGGCTCGATCCCCAGAAGGGGGCGTGCAGGAGGCAGCCGATCAATGACTCTCATCACTGGTGTTTCTATTTCTCTTTCTCCCTCTCCCTTCCTCTCTCTAAAATCAATAAATACTTTTTTTAAAAAGCACATTTTGTTTTGATGATTTTCGGTAAAGTTTTTCTTTTCTTATTTGTTAATTTCCACTCTAATATTTATAAGTTCCTTCTTTCTGCTTGTTTCAGGTCCTGTTTGCTTTTTTTAATTTTTAATTTTGTCTTAAGATGAAAGATTAGGTTATTGAATTGAGTTGAAAAATGTGTATTTATATACTTTATAATATTTATTAATTAGAGTTTAAATAAATATTTAAACAATTTATATGCGTATGTACTTGAGTTCTAAGTTTTGCACCCAGCACTGATAGAAGGATCTCATAAGTCCTAGTATGTTGTGTCTTCATTGTCATCTGTCCCAAATTACCCTCTAATTTACTTTCGATTTCTTCATTGACCCATTGGCCATTTAGAAGAATTTTTTAAAATTTCCACATATTTATAAATTGTTCAGAGTTGTTTCTGCTATTAAGTTCTACTTTAATATTATGTGTTCAGAGAACATATTTTACATATTTCCATCTTTGTAAATTTATTGACCCATAGTTTATGGTGGGTAATTGATCTGTTCTGAAGACTGTCTCTTGTGGATTTGAGAAGACTCTATACTCTGATGTTGTTGGATGTTCTAGAGGTGCCTGTTATGTCCAGTTGTTCTATAGTGTGCACATCTTCTATTTTCTTGTTAATCTTAGGTATATTGTTTCACCATTACTGAATGTAGCATATGAAGTCTCTAAGTACTATTTTAAATATCATTATTTAAAATGATTTCCTTCAATTCTGTCTGTTTTTGCATCACGTATATTGGGACTCTGTTGTTAAGTGCATATATGTTTAAACTTGTTAAATCTTTCCTATAGCTTGACTCTTTGATAATTATAAAATGTCCCCCCTTATCTCTAGTAACATTTTTTTGTTTTAAAGTCTTATGATTGCTGTTTGCATCATATATATTTTCTTCCTTTTACTTTCCACTAATTTGTAGATTTGAATCTAAAGTGTATTTTTTCTAGACAACATATAATTGTCTATTTGTGATCCAGTTTGACAATCTCTATGTTTTATTTTATTTTATTTAAATATATCTTTATTGATTTCAGAGAGAGGAAGGGAGAGAGAGAGAAGCATCAATGATGAGAGAGTCATTGATCGGCTGCCTCCTGCACGCCCCCGACTGGGGATCGAACCCGCAACCCAGGCATGTGCCCTGACCGGGAATCAAACCTCCATCTCCTGGATCCTAGGTTGATGCTCCACCGCTGAGCCACACCCAGCCGGGCCAATCCCTACATTTTAATTGGATCGCTTAATTCAGTGACATTAACGTTGTTTTTGCTCTAGTTGAACCTACATCTACCGTCTTACTTCTGATTTCTACGTCTCATGGTTTTTATGATTTTCGGTTCCTCCTTTACTCCTCTCTACTTTCTTTTGCACTAAGTGAAAGTTTTCTAGTTTATCACTTCAACTTTTTAAAGATTCTTTTCACTATTTTTAGTTATTTTATTAGCAGTACCTTAACATAATAAAACCTACTTTAGATTTATATAAACGTAATTATAGTGAGGTACAGAAGTGTAACTCCTATATTCTTCTTTTTTCCTGTCTTGTTAAGATGACATTATATTGCTATCAACCTTACGTCCATGTAGGTTACAAACTCAACCATGCACTGTTTCTGTCATTACTTTGTGTAATTTTATGTCTTTTGAAGAATGTGAGAGAAAAAAGGACAGTAAATACCTATCCATGGACTCGGTTCTAGTTACCTTCTGTTTTTCACCATTTATGATTCTTTTCATTTGTTCCTTCAATTTGGAGTGACTGTCTTGTGTCATTTCTATAGCAGGACACTACTGCAATCGAGCTTTGCCCCACTCACTTACTTTGTGTTTTTATTATAAAATAATATTTACATATACTGTTTTACACTAATTTCTGGAAACTTTAAGTGGTTTTGGGGTGGTTTTTTTAAAATTATTTTTGCCATTTGGGGTTGTTTCACCGAGTAGAGGGTGAGCAGAGCTCCTCGTGCCACCATTCTGGAAGCTGCCTTGCAATAATTATTCTTTGAGCCATTGATTCTTGGGATTCTTTTATGTCATGGTAACTGACATGTACAGCTCGATTTATTATAAATCATGTCATTAAATGCATTATAATATGTTTCCTCCACTTTTAAATATTTTCATCCCAAAGAAAAACAGAATATGTCTCCCAACCACTGAAACAAACACTCCCAATGTTAATGTAATTATCCTCTTGAACAATCTGAGTCTTAAAAAGTCACTTTAATTCACTAGTGAGAAGAAAGCATTCCCTCTAATGCTGTACTGAGAATTTCTCCCAGGGCCATGACCTGTCACACTGAGGCAGACACCTCACTGAAACCCATTAGGTCTTTAAAAATAAGAGCTTTAGGGAGTTTCTCTTCCCCTTTCTTGTTATCATCTGGGTGCCCAGGAAATTCATATCTCCCACTTTGCCTGCCAAAATTCAGAGAGATGGAGCCCAAGAGCATAAACAGCATTTGTGAGTTAGATATGAGGGAGATTATTTCTGTCCACTCTTAAAATAATTTAAATCCGTCATTTAAATGCCCATACAATTGGATTTAATAATCAGTATCATGTGATGTCTTTGGCTGCGTTTGGGGGAAAAACTATAGTTGCTACAGAAAATAAAACAAGAATACCAAAAAGTCGAATTGCTTTAAGAGCAGAATATCTCCCAATTAACTGATAAATCATAGACAGAAATNAATACCAAAAAGTCGAATTGCTTTAAGAGCAGAATATCTCCCAATTAACTCTGATAAATCATAGACAGAAACNATACCAAAAAGTCGAATTGCTTTAAGAGCAGAATATCTCCCAATTAACTGATAAATCATAGACAGAAATGGTATAGTGAAAAGAAAATTAATCTCTTGGGTGCACATTAACTTTCAATTTTAGCAATCTGGCATCAACATTTTGATGTACAAATAAAGGAACGTTCCAATCATTCCACAACAGTGCACATTTTCCGTACTTGACATCAGGTGCTCTTGCAGGGAGGGGGTGTTCTTGACCCTAGGGAAGAGGCCGTTCTGTGAGATGTTTCCCTATACCTCAGAGAAAGGAAACGTTTCAACATTTACAGAACAGAATCATTTGCAATATAAACACATTTCTACTAACAGCCTCCTGTTCTTTTACTGGTGACTTGTTTTGGGGGGCANCAATATAAACACATTTCTACTAACAGCCTCCTGTTCTTTTACTGGCGACTTGTTTTGGGGGGCATCTTCATAGTTTACAGTCTCAAGCTCTCTTCTTCAGTCCCATGTTAAGTTCCAAGTTTTAGAATTTCCATTGTTTACATAAATATCCAATGCACTGAAAACTTACTTTTTATGTTTTAAATAATTCCTCCAAACTTCAGTGATCTAGTTCAATTTCGGCCTCAGGAACAATTCTGACATTGTGACTCTCTTCTTANTTTTTATGTTTTAAATAATTCCTCCAAACTTCAGTGATCTAGTTCAATTTTGGCCTCAGGAACAATTCTGACATTGTGACTCTCTTCTTAGGGACAGTTCTGAGCCTACACTCGATTATTCCAGATTTTGGTACAAGCTTACCTTGCCCATTTGCCCCTTTCCCTCCATCTAATTTTCATCCAGGAGGAGCCTGCTTATGATACTGAAATATTTCCAAAACTCAGGGCAAAAGGACAGACATAAAATCTATGAGATTGTGGCATAGGGCTATC